ACAATATACTCACCATAGGTTCTTACTAATAAAATTTTGCTTGTTGAGGTCAATAGTGGTATTTAACAAAGGTTCTCACTGATCTTGTCCATATGAATTTGGAGTGTGAACATGCCTCTATCTTTAGTAAAAAAAAAATGAGCCCATTTGGTCGAGCTATAATGGAGATATTCAATTTTTAGTGTGTCTATTGCATGACTTACTGTACGCCCTATAGTGTCGTAACAAAAATACGTAATACTAAAACGAATCTTATGAAATAAAGCGTTTGTTTCTCTATCGTTTCATACGAAAAGAAACTCTCCTTCAGGTTACTATAAGGCATTAAAGCGTCATTCTCACTACTTTTGGACTAACCGAAGTAATTCTCTCAAGTTTAGCCCAAAAACTGAGATGAAGACTACTGAATATTTTTTCGTTGAGAAATTTAAAAAAAAATCAAATAGCGAAATTCAATATCAAATGTTTATTATTGAAAATGAAAGATAAATAAAAATACTTTGCAATATTAGTTTATCGATTTTAGATAATGTTCTTATCGTACGTTGATAACTTTTTTTTTCCTACAATAAAAGACAAACTGTTAAAAAGATCAAATGCTGTGATGAAATAATTATTATATCGATTATACAGCGTGCTTATTCAACTTTGTAATGCTGTTGTTTGTTTTTTTTGCATCAATGCACCAGAAGATCATTGAAGTATAACATTCTCCTATTATAATAATCTGCAATTAGAGTGTAGATGTATCTTCTCTTCAGCCACACATCCACATCCCATAAGTCGATATTGATCGTGCAATAATAACATCTTTTAGAACAATGTTTCTTTTAAAATTTTAGTTTTTTTTTCAGCATTTTTACTATGGACTAAAGTTGAATTTATCAAACAAAAAACATATCGAAGAATAAAACTGTTGAAATCAGAGAGTGATGCATCTGAATTAGTCTATTTTCGTCAATTTCAATATCACCGAATGAATTCATGACTCTATGTATAACATTTTATGATAATTAATTAGTTCATTACCAAATCGATTTGATGTTATCTCAGTTGGTAATCAATTTAGAGTGTGAATGTAGCTCTGGCCATCGACACCCAAACTCTTGAAAAGACAATAGATTTAATCGACTTGGTAATGAACTAATTCATTATAATAAAACTTTATATATAGAATCATTCAAGTTTTGATTCAGACTTGGTTTTACGGTATGAATCCATTCGGTAATATTGAAATCAGTGAAAATGAAGATTACAGCTTTTCGCATTATTCTATCGGTTTACATCTGTAATCTTTAGTATAAATGATCAATAATATTTGATAGAAATTAGCTAATATACGACTAAAGTCTATCATCATGATCGTAGCTGCTTCGTCTTCACCAGATGTAGATCAGCCATCATCGCTAGTTTATTTCATTTATTAATTTAGCAAAAGGAAGACCTTTGCTCTTATCAGATAATTATATTTTCATATTGAATAAAAAAAACAAAAAACAACAATTATGAAAATATTGAAAATGTATACTTAATGAATTTCTAGTAAAAATTTCTACAAATTTGAATAATCAATCGAATTTAAAGTAATCGATGATTATGATTATCCTGCAGATAACGAGAAAATTAAAGTACACGAATCTCATGATAAGCTTTTTTTTTCTCTTGACTTGTGTATGATCTCTGTTAGAATATTACTATTACCTCCTATAATCAAGAATGTGTCTGGGTAGTTCGAATTTTCTAAAGCAATTTTCGATATTCTACGTAAACAAGACATTTTTTGATTGTAAACGTTATTGATAAAATAGTGAAAGATTATATTGTTTCAATGTTTAAAACATTGCATTTTTGGACAATCAAAATATAACGTTTAAATTTTATTACTTTACTCAACTATCATAAATCACATCTAAGATTAAAGAATAATTATTTTATTAATTTTTTTTTTCATTATATAGTATTCTAAAAATTATTTTAATATTCATTACAATACATCAAATGTATGTCTATCGAACAAGAATAGAATTTATTATAAGTTGATATAATTTTAAATTCAACTATAAACTTTTAGTCTATGATTCTAAACATACTGATTAGTAGTTGTATTCATTTTGGTATAGTATAATTATTAAAATTGATTAAATAACTAATTCTTATATTCTTTGAAGTTTTATTCAACTTATTTTTCTATAGATAAAAAAATGTCCCATAAATTCTCGAATTCAATGAAAATTAGTTTATATGTGAATAAAGAGTGATCTCTATCCAACTATATCTTCTATATGTGGTTCGAGTACTTAGGACGATGTTTTAAATGTAATATTATCTGTTGACATTATCTCTTTTAATAATAGTGATATAAACAGAAGAGAAAAAACATGATGGGATATTAATCACTCTTTGTTTCTATATAAACTAATTTTTGTTGAGATCTAGAACTAATGAAACATTGTTTATCTATGTCTATAAAAATTAAAATAAGATCGCTTTTAGTAGTGACTAAATTCAAGTCATCTCAAATAATCAAATAAGAATTATTTAATGAATTCCATACAGAAAAGACTAGATGTAAATTATAGTAAAGATCAGTGGCGGATCTAAGATTCTGCCAGAGTGAGGGGAACTACTTTTTTTTGAAGCAGTAAGAAGTATAGGTCAACGCGAATGGAATCATCTTTGTGAGGCTTCTATGTTGGTTAGGGAAGGGTTGAATTACGTCGTAAGTTTTACGTGGCGTAATCGCATTGAAAGTTCGATCGCCGACCGGCTAGATCCGCCACTGATAAAGATATTTACAATGCTTTTGTGATATTAGTGTCGTTAAAGATCAATAATGTTTTTAAAAAATTTTTCAAAATTATGAAATAAAAACTCAACGAATTTTATTATATTTGAAAAAAAAATGAATGTGATAATAAAGTGTTCAATTTGCTGTACGAGCTTGCTGATTTTCACAATAAATTGAGCATCGAATTTTTCTATTAGATATGTTTCAGTGATATTATACAAAGTGCAATTTGTTTAATAACGTCAACTAAGCTGCTTCCAAGATCGAGTTAATATGTGTAAAACTTTTATACCTATATATATATATTAGAGGACACTACAAATTGCATTGGAAGATGGAACATTCAGAACATCCGAATAATTAAAAATAGGGATGTTGCAGTTTAGCAGCACTCAGCAACGAAGGGGAAAAGGTTTGTGAAATAACTTTACATTAGCAATAGTTAAGTCATGACACTCTGTCATATTTTCACGGCACTATATCTATCACTGGGAAAGGAATAAATTCTCTCCCTACCCATGAGAAGACACCTTCTATAGCCTGATCATGATATATGTCACAAGCAAATATGAATTTCAGGCAAAATTGTTTTTTTTTGGCGCTTCTATCAAATTCAATTTTGACTAGGCAAAATTCGTTCTCCGTTCGTGATTATTTTATATCATCAAATTGTCAATTTCTTTCATTTTCATACACAAAGTTCATTGAGTGTTAAATAGCTTTCGATATTTTGCTTTTGCAATATCAACAATGATATTACAACAATCTACTTATTCGGTTCTTCTTCAGAATACACACCCTATGTACACATTGACTAGCACGACAATGAATGGAGATGAAGGGGTGTGCGTATTCTGAAGAAGTACTTCTCAACCCATTTTCATCAAAACAGGGCATACAGATGCTGTAGATAAAAATTTATTTACTCATAATAAAATCTAATCAATCATCAATGTTCCCATCTTCCCATCATCAAAAAAAAATTACTGATTTATTATCACATAAAAAAATACTAAGCGTCTTATATCTTTGTCATTAAATAAACTAAAAGAAAACTTTAAATTTTGAATAAATAAATGGACTTATAGTCTTCATAAGAAAATATTTTTTTTTGCAAAATCAAAAATAGCAATTTCAATCTCAAATAGATTCAAAACTCACCTTCCACATCTATATTTAAACGAACTTAAAATGATTTTTTTCGTTTAATACTAAAGTAATTAAAAAATGTGATGAAGAATTCCGAAGCCTCCATATCAATTTTTTCTTTAATCTCATTTATGCATAGAGCTAATTTTGACTAGGCAAAATTATATCTAATATTTTTATAAAAAATTCTATCTTTAGTTCAATTCTGCCTAAATACTAAATTTGCCTGACACATATATACACAAATGTATTTTCAAATGGAAATTTAAAATTTCAAGATAAAATAATTATTGAAAAAATGGTAATGCTTTTTGGAAAAAAATTGGCTGTGTCATTGTGAAGAAAGGGTGTACGTATGCATGTGTGTCTTTTCTTGATGCGCACACACCAGAACTTACATCCGCACTCTTCCCGAAAATGTTGGCTCATATTGACCAGATGTTGCCAAATGGCAACATAAAGTCATTCAGTATCCAAGACTTTCTTGTTGTGAAACGTACACTTTTTCTATTCCTGTAATGAGAGAGGGAAAAATATGTAAAAAAAAAGGATGTTTTTTCTGTGTGGTTTCTGGCAGCCGATGTAAAAGAGTTAGAATAAGAACTGATAATTCGAGTTGAAATTTTTACTAGAGATAGACTATAAGATGGATGGTCGAATAATAAAGTCTTCAGTTAATGGAAAAATTTGAGTCATCCTATCATATATGAATCATGTGTTTATATGCAAACACGAGCATGAATAATTTGAGCAAAAAAAGAATCTAAATCCTTCAAAAATCACTCTATTTTGTTACCAAACGATTCTTCATCACACTCTACGTTAAGTTCTACTATAAACAGAGCCAAACTGACGATGACTACAAAATGGTCGTTATGCTTCCCTGTTCTTTGTTTTTATGAAAGTCAATAAATGTATATGACTTAACATTCCACATGACTAATAGACTTATTTGATAACAAAAATCACAGAATTATTAACTTTAACAAGTTCAGATTAGTAAGACAAAAAAAAATTCTTGAATTATTATACAGAAGAACCAATAAAATATATAATCAATAAATTATTTTGAAATTTTATCCAACAATATATTCAGTGTTTTTTGCATATCCTTTATCGTATTGTTTATATTTATGTCCATCTCAACAAGTTTGTCTTCTATTTTATCAATTTTAACTTTCATTATCTTCAATTGCTCTGAGACTTCATATGTTTGAGCACTTATGTTACGTTGTACAGAGATTATATCAATTTGATCAACACAATTGTCAACTTGTCGTCCTTGTTTTTGTTTAATTTCGTGAATCGAATGTATTGATTGAAATAATCGTCGTTGTGCTTGCAGATAAAGAACAGAGGATAAAGATACATTTTTCCTTTTCAAATGCCAAACTTGAAATGCAAATTTAATAATATTTGCTGCTTGTATTTTACGTTTTTTTGCTAATTCAACATTTAATACAAAACTATGAACATATTTTTCCCATCGATTCATCAGAAGTTTTTGTGAAAGAACAGTAATAAGAAGAGCAGTTGCAAGGATACCAAATAAACCAATTATAGAAGCAATAGCTAATAGTAATTAAAAAAAAGTGAAAGTTTTATTTATAGATGAAAATTGAAAAGATTTTTTTAATGAATTATATATTATTTACTTCGTCCACAGTATGTAGATGGTGTAAAATCTCCATAACCAATAGTAGTAAATGTTACAACGAAAAACCACATGGCGTTAAGCATTGATACATGTTCTTTGGTTGGTGTGTAATCACATGCACGTATACACCAACTTCCAACAAAGAAGATAATTATACAAAGTGTCGTTAAGCAACGTGTTGGCCATTGTTGAAGATAAGTTTTAATGAGAAATACGTAATCAATTGATACTCTATTAAGATAACCAATTGATCGTGCTGATATATCAGGAAATAGTGGAGAATGAAACATAATAAAACGACCCAGTAAATAAACACGAGCAAACACTATTAAAGTAATTGATTTTAAATTTGATGAAGAGAAATAAAACGTTGATACTTACTTGGAAAACTAAGTACAACATCAGTAGATAAAACAGACAAAGAAGAAGAAGAAGAAGAAGAAGAAGAAGAAGAAGAATTAGATGTGGATGAATTTGAGCTTATATTTTCTACTGATGGACTCAAACAGCAAGGAAAAGAACGAGGCATTGGATGTATACCACAAACTAATATTTCAAGTAGAATTAAAAATATTTTCTTGTACGTTATTGCAATACGATAATCTTCAATTGAATTATTAACAGCATAGAGAGATAAATCTAATCGATGATATCGAAAGATAAACCCAATGAGAACAATCGTTGAAGAACTAATAACTATTTTGATAGACCAGCTCCAGATGGTATCTTTATCATTGACTTGAGAAAATGTTATTTCATTTTCAATCATCATAAGAATAATTCCCAAAATACCAAGAATACACATGATATCAGTCACGATACAACTAGAATATAAAAGAAAATAATAAAATAACAAGTAGATATATTTCATACAGTTGTTTATGTAAGTTTTTTCGTATAGTTAGTCGATGACTAATCTTAGAGAATGATGTATTTCCATTATTCCGATTCTTGTACACATTTTGTGGATGAATGTCTTTGTTATTGGGAACATTTGAATCAATAGTAACAATTTTTGTAGAAGGTAATGAAACTATATTCAGAGAATTCTTCCGTTCATTATGTGATGAAGAGTCAACATTAATCAGACGCATCAATTGTATGCAAGTATCATTAATATCAGCCATCTTATATTTACCTGAAATAAATAAATACATTTATGTACACTATAATAGATAATAATAAAGTTATCACTTTATTATATTAATATTTGTTCTAGTCATTTTTTCACGTAAAATTGAAAAGATTTAAAACGTAAACCAAAATGTATAGTAACAATACGTCATAGAAATATTTTCTGTTTATTTTCATTTTCTATTATGAAAATTTTTTATTGAAAGAGAATTAAGGTTTTTTTTTTTCTATAAGTTTTTAACAACTATTCTATATTGTATTTCATAAAAACTCATTTTGATAGTTTTGTATCATAATGCTTACTCAAATCGAAAGAAAGTTGATCAAATTTGTTTTGTGTTTATTACAATTATCTACTATCTACAATAACAATACATTTGTTCACATTAATAATATTTACCTTGATAAATAACACGACTGATTAGTAATTTAACATGTAGACACTCATTTTTTCGTACCTTTATTCATCAATATAAATACGAGTAGTAAAACAAACATTAATACAAATCCAAAAAAAAAAAACTTTATGTCAATCACACGTGGTAAAGTTGCTTGTACAAAGAGATTAACAAACAATAGTCCACCCTCTTTTTACATGTGCATTACCTGTCAAAATGAAGAGAGAAAACGAAATTACATTGTTTGTTTGTAATTTCTTATTTCTAAGATACACGTTGATAATATAGATGTGTCGAAAACATTTAGCATTGAAATAATATCATTCTTTAAATAAACTTAACAAACTTATTCATGAAATCTATGACTATTGAACGTTATTCATTAAGAGAAAAGTCGAATAGTATAAAAAAAGTTCAAAATAAAAAATGTCGAATGCTAAAAAAATCGAATGACGAAAACAACTAATGATACTTACATCAAAAACAAAAATGCCGAGAATGTTAGTATACGATCAGGGGTGTTCTTAGGCTGCTAGGATTGGGGGGGGGGGGGGGGGGAAGTTGCTAACTCAAAATAATGATGGGAAGAGTTTTACTAAAATTGATCAGATTCGAGAAGAGTTGAGCAATTTTTTGAGAATTGCTGAGTAAAAAACCGAATAAAATGCTGAAAAATTGCTGTAGAAAAACGAAAATCTCTCAAGATTGAAGCGGTGGCCACTTTTCGACCGTCTCCTGCTCGGTACATCTCTGTGGATGTGGAGAAAGCGCTAGGAGGACTGCGTGCTCTCTTCAATCGCTTACTGCTACATCCATATGTAAATTAGAATGAAAACGTAAAAAGAAAGAAGAGGAGAGATTTACGAAAGATTATGTTTCTCTTAATATTTTGAAAATTCTATAATCTTTGATCCAGTGATTACTCAATACAACTACCACTTGGAACATATCGAAAATTATTTAGAATATTTTTCTTATTATTAATATTTAGTCTGTCAATACCATTCAAGTTCATTCTAAATTTTGTCCGTATACAAAGTAGATCTATTGATAAAACATTAAAAATAAATAAATCTTCTTATCATGATGAATACGATGAAGTTTTTCATACAAATCATTGCAGCAGTAGTGATCAATGTATTCATCTGTTTGAAGAATATTGACTAATTATTTGGTATTAACTATTATCTTATCAATATGATCAGTATAATCATCAAAATCAACAATTCTAGCATCATGTATAATATTTTTCTTTCAGAATTTAATCTATCAGTCACTGTCAGTTATTATATAACAGTCTATATAAAATAACACTGTCTTCATGTCATTTTGATTGATTTTCAAAATAGTAACTAACAAGTAAGTGCATCAGTTCACTGATAAAATTCCACGTAAATCAATATTTTATCTAGTCATTTTTTTATAGAAAAAGTTGTACAAGTATTCTATTGACTCAAGAAAATTTTATTGTAAATATCCAACGATGAATACAACAAGAAGAATTGAATCTTTGTAAACTTCAAGCAAAGAAAAGTTCAATTGAGTTTCAAACTAATGTGATTAAAACCAGAAAAAAACCGTCGGTTGATCGTCCGGTATAATGTGCGCTATACCGGCGTCAATAAAATATCAAGATTTATTTCAGTGATATAAAAAAAGGATCTATAGTTCAATGTCAATAATCGAAAACAACAGTAGAAATCAATAATAATGAGTAAAAATATTCACTTAATGGGTCTAAAAGAACCCAATGAATCACATGTATCAGCAAAAAAAAGTATTTTCCTATTATTTTTTATTTTCATATGGAATGTTGTTTATCGGCTACACAATTATCACGTAGGTTATTTATTCATTTTTGCGCATAATGACTTCATGAAAATTGATCCACTGTACGGTTGTTTGAGTGGCATGGAGTTTTAATTTGGATCTTATTGCTTCTAAAAAACAAAACAATTTTAATATTGAAAGAAATATAAAATCATACATTACATTTAATAAAAAGATATCGACCCACACCCGATTCGAACATGCCACTCCTAAAAGACTAAGATGGTAAAAATAACTTCAAATTATCATTTTGTACATAAATAAGATAAAATCATACCAAAGATTCATGAAATCAATTTGAATTATTCATATCAGTTTTTTTTTATCATCTTCATCTTGTAAATCAGTTATGGTAGATGAATTTAAATATGTAAAGTTTATAGTGTTAAAATGAACTGTTATTTGAAGCTTAGAAAAACTTTTCTAAATGCATTTTTGATTAAGGATGTTGTAGTTTGGCAGTTCGCTGAACCGAAAGAACAAAAGTTTGTAAAATCACTTTTCATTCGCAAATTGTCAAGTCATAGTACTCTCTCATATTCTCACGGTACTATAACGAGTGTCCTAGGATAAATCGCAATAAATCTCAACGTATTTTTCTCTCGCCTTTGCTCATCAAAGCTATCATTAAAACTAAATTATTTAACACTAATAGATAAAGAATTTTGTGCTCTATGATTAGGCGACCTTTTCAAGATTCCTGGTGCTGCTGCTGCTGCTCAGAAGAAAAAGACCTGGAACTGACACCTGTGAATATTTTTGTTTACACTATCGAAAATCATACTTTCAAAAGCTAAACTTACTCTATGTAAGATTTATTATTATACCATTGAATGTAAAATTTAATTCTGAACAAAATAGTGTAACTATTCAACTGAACAATGAAAATCTGTATATTATTTCGAGTTTAAAAAAAAACAATAGTATAGGTTTGTCAGAAATGTGTGTTTTTCGATGTCTTCATGTATTTTTACTTCAAAACTGTTTCTTCGAAATATTTCTTCGAAAATTCTGAAACATGCATCTAAGAAATGCAGAATTTTACAGAGAATTTTCTGGCATAGTTGACATTTCAGCAAAATCTTTATTAAAAAAATTTCATCATTTTTTTTTTGGTCGTTCTATTTTACTGTCGCAGTTGGACAATATCTTTCAGAATAAGAAAGAATTTTTTTTTTTGATAATTAAAAAACAAGAGAAAAATGCACTGATATTTAGTAGAATTTATCCTGAGACATCCGTCATCTATTACTAGGAAAGGAATAGTTATCTCCCGTCCATAGGAAGACACTTTCTGTGTTCTGATCCTAATATATCAATAAATAAAATGTATTTTCCAATGTGAATATAAAATTTCAAAATAAAATCAATTATTGGAAAAATGATAATGTTTTTTAAAAAAAATTAGCTTCCTCAATGGGATGAGAGGATGTAGATTTGTGTGCATGTGTCTTCTCTTAATACGCACATATCAACATCCACATCCATATCTCTAAAACAAAATTTGTTTCAAAAATGGAGCGGAGCTATTCGGAATATGATATTTATTTTGCATACAAATAAAACTATAATGATAAAAATCGGTAGATATGGACAAAACTATTGTAGGATCTTATCGGTAAAATCAAAATATGTCATTTCTCAACAACTGAACAATAATTCGAAGAACTGATGCATATGTTTATTCTCCTTTCGAAGGTGATTCGTATAACATATTAAACGTGATTTCAAATCTTGTTAAAAACAACTAAACAGATCTACAAACTATATTAATGACAACTGCATATGGTGTCTCCTAGTCTCAATATAATATCGATCATATTATGCTTAACCAGTCCCCAAACTGAGTTTTCATACTCAGTTTACCACGCTGAATAATAAAAGAAAGTTTCGAAATTGTTAGAACAGAATTAAAACAAACAAACCCTTATTTCTCAAAACTAAGTCGATATCTTTAAAAATATGGGCGCTTCCGTATTTTGATGTGTTTTTCTTGTATAAGAGAATCGAAAAAAAATTTTAAAATATATTCTCCTATGTACTTTCATGACTTCTATCCAACCATATAAAAAGCAAAGAAAAAAAAATAATTTGCTCAAATTTTGAATTTTTCCCACATTACACACACCAATATTAATAATACGAGCAAAAAAATGATCTAAATCCTTCGAAAATCACTCTATTTTGTTACCAAACCATTACTCATGAATTTTGAAATTAGGTTCTACTATTAATAGAAAGAAACAAAGGATACCCCCAAAATGATCCTCATGCTACCTTGTCCTTTGTTGTTGTGAAAGTCAATAAATGTATACAAGTTGACGTTTTTAATGAATACTAACCTTATGTGATAAGAAAAATCACAAAATTATAATATTGTACAAAATCAGATTAGTAAGAAAAAAGTATTAGTATTATTATACAGAACAACCAATAAAATATGCAATCAATAGATTATTTTGAAGTTTTATCGAACAACATATCCAGTGCTTTTTCTATAACGTTTATTGTCTTGTCCATCTTTATGTTCATCTCAACAAATTTCTCTTCCATGTTATCCATTTTTACTTGCATTATCTTCAATTGCTCTGAAATTGCATCTACTTGAGCACTTGTATTACGTTGTACAGAGACTACATCAATTTGATCAACACAATTGTCAACTTGTTGTCCTTCTTTTTGTTTAATTTCGTGAAGGAAATGTATTGATTGAAATAAATTTCGTTGTGCTCGAAGATATCGAATAGATGATTTAGATACATTTTTCTTTTTCAAAATCCAAACTTGCAATGCAAATTTAATAACATTTGCTGCTTGCATTTTACGGTTTTTTGCTAATTCAACATTTAATACAAAACTATGGACATATTTTTCCCATCGATTCAACAAAAGTTTTTGTGTAAGAACAGTAATAACAAGAGCAGTTATAAGGATACCAAATAAACCAATTAAAGAAGCAATAGCTAATAACAATAAAACAAAAATAAAAGGTTTATTTATAGATGAAAACTGAAAAGATTTTTTTAATGAATTATATATTATTTACTTCGTCCACAGTATGTAGATGGTGCGAAATCTCCATAACCAACAGTAAGAAATGTTACAATGAACAACCACATGGCATTAAGCATTGACATATGTTCATTAGTTGATGTGTAATTACATGCACGTAAACACCAACTTCCAATAAGAAAGACAATTATAAAAAATGACATTAAACAACTAACTGGATATTGTTGAAGGTAAACTTTAATGAGAAATAAATAATCAATTGATATTTTATTAAGATAACCAATGGATCGTGTTGATGTATCAAGAAATAAATGAGAATGAAATATAATAAAACGACATAATAAATAAACACGACCAAACACTATGAAAGTAGTTAGTTTTAAATTTGATGAAGAGAAACCAAAAAGTGATACTTACTTAGTAAACCAAGCGCAAAATCAACAGATACATAAGATACAGGATAAAGAGTAGATATGGAGGAATTTGAGTTTATATTTTCTACTGATGGATTT